TCCCTTAAGTGCCTTGGTCTTCTGGCTTTGCAAGGGTTGTTCAGCAGGCCAGCAGTGGCAGTAGTCCCCCCATCCCCCTGCAAGCCTGATCCCAGAGCATGCAGGTCCCTGTGCTCCCAGCCACCTTGCCCCCCACTGGGAGTTCCTGGCTCCCATTTCCATTATCGCAGGGAAGGAAGGCTGGGAAACATCCATAGGGTCACCAGGCAAAAACCTCTGCCAGGCAGAGGCTTCTTGGCTCCAGTGCCCTCTACCCTGGGGTTAGAGGCAGGTCAGGCCAGGCTGGGGTGGGGTGTTGGTTGCTTAACAACTAGATCTGCATCTCCAGCATAGAGGTGCTGGCTTTCAAAGAAGCAGCCAAGGCCCAGGGCCTGTGATCATTCTTTCAGCTTATGGAGGGGCCCTGCAAGCTGGGTGGAATTGCCTGGTGGGCTGGATCCAGCCCACAGGTCATATTTTGCTCAGCCCTGCACTAGATCATAAGCTGAATATAACCAAGCCCCCCCCCCCCCCCCAAAAAAAAAAAAATGTTAACAGGACTGTCACTTGCAAATCAAGGGAAGTGCTTCTTCCACTCTGTTTAGCACTGTCAAAGCTGCACCTGGAGTCCTGCGTCCAGCTTTGGGCCCTGACTTCAAGAAGCACACAGGCAGATTGGAAATTCTAGTGCAGAGGACAAAATTGTTTGAGGGCCTGGGAAATGAGACTTATGAGGAAAGGCTGAGAGAACTAGGGTTATTGACTGTAGAGAAGACTGAGGCTGGGTTTGAGAGCATTCTTCATTTACCTGAAGGGTGATTACGGAGAGGATGGAGACAGGCTTTTCTCTGGGCCTTTAGGGTATAGGATTGGGAGCAATGGCATCAAGCTGCAGGAAAGGAAATGTAGGCTGGAGGTTACAAGGAGCTCTCTGACAATGAGGCTGGTCAAGCATTGGAACAGGCTACTTAGAGAAGTTGTGGAATCTTTAAACTTGGGAATTTTCAAGAGCAGGTTGGACAGGCATTTGGCTCAAATGGTTTTGTCAAATATGATTCTGCCTTGAGCAGTAGGCTGGACTAGATGACCTTGTAAGTTCCCTTTCAGCTCTACTTTCTTATTTCTTATGATTCTTGGTGTCATTTATAGGGAAACTATATATTCACAATGGATGAGTCACCTCCTCATGTCAACAGCATTGGAGAGTACAGGACTCCAGAACTAGATAATGTCCTTTTCTTTTACTACTAGTTGGAATTTCTGTCCCCCCAGAAATGTGGACCTTCCAGCTTATGTTTTTGTCCTGAAGCAGAATGAAAAGTTGAAATCTCCAAAGTTTTCTCAGAATTAAAATTTTGTTCAGGAAACGTTGATACGAAAAAGTTTTTGCACATTTTCTCAATAGTAAATTCTGTTTTTTTTTCCTGTCAAATTGACATCTCTCTGTGGGAAAATGTGCACTTAAATCATGTTTTTGACAGGAAGTCTTGGGTCAGAAATTCAACTAGTTGTGTTTCTAACATTTACTGAGTTTTTATCAAAATATAACAGCTGTTTTTTTCTCTGTTGCACACAGCTCACCATTAGCTATATTGAGTCGCTGATGCCCAGCAATGAACGCCAGAAACAACTGAAGCGCCAATATTGCTTTGAATGTGACTGTCTTCAATGCCAAACACAGAACAAGGTAGGTTGAGTAAAAAAGACCTTTCTCAAGGCCTGTAAGTCTCTTCCTTCCCTTTTTGTAAGAGCTTATCTTTTGTTACTTGTTTGACTGTCAAAATCCAGAAGCAAATGTCCTTGCCTTTTCTACTGTTTATTTTTATGGGAAAGACAAATGTGAAGGAAGGAAAAGCATAAAAGCCAATTACATGATAAGAAGCTTTATTTGTTAAAGTCTATATTGCTTGGAGAAACAGAAAATGTTTTTCAGTCCTTGGTACCATAGATCAGACTAGTTTGAGCTTCCAGGACCTTTGAACATGTGGGTTAATATAACACATAAGATATTTCAAAAAAAGAAAATCATGGCTCTTGGGGCTCAGGGAGATGGTATTTTTGTAGTGCAACGAAGTTTGATCAGCCAATCAGAGGGACCAGACAGGGTGTATCCCCTGAGTCTGGAACAGAGATACCTTCTGCCCAGTCGCTGATTGGCAGGACCAGGCAGGGGGAAGCATACCCTTGGCTTCCTGACAGCTCACTGCTGGGCAAGCTGTCAGGGATTCAGGCACTCTTCCCTTCTTCCCTTCCTTCATCTTGTTGGAGATACCCAATTTTAGGGACTGATCCACCATTTTCATCCTATCACAGACAGCTTGCTGATTTCTTTTTGTTGTACAAAACTGGCATATAGACTGAAACAGTTATAACATCTGCCAGGGCCCTTAGCTGAAACCAGTTGTATAAGCTTTGTGTAAAGTTGTGGGCCTTAGTACTAATGCTAAATTACCATATTTTCTTGCATACAGCCCTTCTTACTCAAAAACCAGCTGCTGGAAATTGCAGTGTACATTATATGTGAGAAATATAGCAAGAACAGTTCTGCTGGTGACCAGCAGAATCTGCATGAGGCTCATAGGGAGCAGAACAGCAAACAGGCTTTGCTTCCTAGCTGCTGCTGTTCAGTTACTTACTAGAAGGAAAGATCTTTATTTTTATATTCTGCTGGTCAAACACAAGGTGCTTATTTTGTTCCAAGGTGTGTTGTAGGTGAGAAAATATGGTATTTTTGAAGAAGATCCAAAGTCATACCTCTCATGCCATGGGAGCCAAGTTTATCCCAGTGTCATGAAACTTTTCACAACAGGCTCAGCTACCTGCAGCCTCTCTCTATGAACACTTTGTAGTTACAAACTTACTTGTAGAGCAGCATGTGACTAAGCAATACCAAAATAAGATCTAAGTGCAAGATTCCTTCTTTGCCCAAACACACCTCTGTAGCTTGGTTCCAGCACAACTGACTGCTTGAACATGGACATAGATAAAAAGCCTTGGCTCCCCGTGTTGTGAGATCGTGTAGGCAGTGCTTGTTGCTATAGCTGTGTTTATTTTTTCATTTAATTATACACAGCATTTTTTAAATTTTGTAGTGCCAGTTTTAGATCTGTCCCATACTGGCATTATGTACCTTGGCATCAGACCAAAAAAGAATATGACAAACTGAATGAAAGTGTGATTCCAAGGAGCACAATGATATAATGTGATTCAAGAAGTAATTTGTATTTAATAAAGCAGAGATAGATATTCAAAGTTTACATTTCAATTATGTCAAGTTTCTGAATATTTGGTGTCAGAGAGAGGGAAGCTGGTAAGCATAATTCCCCTAAAGCCATGCTGGATCCTTGAAATGTATAACAAATCCTACAGCACTTTAGCCAACAGTTCCCAAAAAACAGATCCTAGTAGAATAATTTACACATTAAATTGATGCTGAAATCCTAGCTGTGCACAGAACTCTCTGCCATCAGCTGGAGTTCTACATGCAAAGTGTGGCAACGTAAAATTATTAAATCTGTCTGAAGGGAAGAGATGTATGTTTCTTCCTTTTTAAATGTCTTTTTTTCAAGTATCATTGAGGTTTGTTTTAGGGACCTGTATCCACTGAATTCATCTTGGCATAAGTACAGTGATATTTAAGAATGATGAACTTCCTGAAAAGTCATCAAAGGTTTATTTAAAGAAAAGTACTTAACCCATTTTAGTCTGAAGTCATGCAGAAGGCAGGGAAGAGTCACACCGTAAAGCCTAACTACTTAAGGCATAAGTAAGGAACTACCTAATTCACGGGGAAAAAAACAGTTTTCACAGCTTGGCTGCCCAAAGAGCTGATTTGATGGATGTTTCATGGCATCCCTACTCCTTGGTGCTGATTGGTGAAGAGGCCCCACCCCTTGGTGCTGATTGGTGGAAAGACCCTGACAAAATAGGCTGTCACCAGTGAAAGCTTATGCCTCTGAACAAGTTAATCTGAAAGGTTTATTTGATAGACACAGCACAGTGGGGCTGGTGAAGACCATTAAGCATGTTGAAAACTAGTGAGTAAGTAAAGAAGCAAGGTCTGAAGAGTGGGTTATACTCTACCATGTGTGTCTGTGTGTCACAACCACTACAATGTAAGTTTGAAATACCCCACTGATAGAAACAACAGAACCCTCTAAATGGAACCACTTCATTCAATCATAAGTCCTTCTTGACCCTCTTAAGAGTGAAACTTAGAAAAATAATTTTGCCTAGTAGCAAATTTATCTGGGAAAAGTTTAGTGTCAAATATTATAGCCAGCTTTCCCCAGTCACATGAAATTCCCCGATTTTTCCTTGTTATTGTAATGAAAAGACCAAAAGCATGGTCCTGGGAGATGCCAATAACCTCAAGGCCAGCTTCTGAGTTGTTGCAATTCCCATTGACTTTACTCAGAGTTGAGGCAATCACTGCCTATGAGGGAGACATCTACCTACCTTCTCAGCTCAGGACTAACTCTGTCCATTTGCAGCTGGTAGATTATAGCAGAACTACTTGAGATCTATACTGATGTAACAAAGTTCAGAGGTAGGTCACTTGATGAAATACAGGATTGAACCCCACCATTCCATTATATGGGTACAACACCACTGAATTACAGAATACAAGACGGCATGAATTTGGCCCACTACTTACAGCCCCACATGAAGTGAAATGTATTCCTGTGACAAATTATAGCACTAGCCTACTTGTGTTATGCACAAATTATAGCACTAGCCTACTTGTGTTATGCAGGTAACAATAGCAATGAAGACATGGAGGAACAAGCATTAGCACACACTAGAGCAGGGGCAGGGAAAATACGGCCTGTAGGCCGGATCCGGCCCACCAGGCCATTCTATCTGGCCCACAGGACTAAAAAATTAGTAAATTAATTTTTTTTTTGCTCCTGGCTGCCTGTCAAAGCTGATAGGCACCAAGAGCAGTAGGACCCAGGGGGAGCCCTCATCAGGACTGAGCAGCCGAGCCCCACCCACCCCCAGCCATTTCACTCTCTTCGTGCCCCCGCCATGCTCTGGCACCATGCCACTCCTGGCTACATCACCAGACAGGGGAGCACATGTGTATGTGTGTGCATGTGCACACGCAGGCAGGGACAGTGTGTGTGTGTGTGTATGCAGGAGGGGCAGAGTGTCTGTGTGTGCAGGCAGGGGCAGTGTGTGTGTATAGGCAGGGGACGTGTGCATATATGTGTGTTCATAGGGTGAATCCCACATGCACACCCCACCATACACATACACCCACAGCCCCCCTTTCACTGCTATACACGCAGACCCCCACACCTCCTTATACACTCCAGCCACCCCCCCACACACAGCCCTCCACAAACCCCATACCCATCCTCCCCCCATACCCACACACCTACAGCCCCCCACAAACCTATATGAATCCCCCAGCATATAAAAGAGTAGGGCTTCATTTTAAGCTATTGTGCAGTCACCTCTATGTACACTACACAAACGCATATAAATCAGGACAAAAATATTTTTTGAAATTAGATTAATGAATGTTTTAGAAGTTTGATTTTCAGAATATAATTTGGTATTTTTTTGGTTCCAAGATGGCAAAACCCCATGCTGGAAGGAGTACTTCTGGGGGAAGGGGAAGGACTTCTAGTGGCAAAGATCAGGGTCCAGGGCATGGGACTTCTGCTCACAAGATGGTGACTGGGGGCAGGCTATCTGTCAAGGGGCAGGGCTACCCACATGGCCCTCAACAGCTTGCCAAAACTTGGTAAGCGGCTCTCCAGCCTAAATAATTGCCCACCCCTGAACTAGAGCATGTACCCAGGGTCCCTGGTGAGTTTATACTCTGTTAACACATGGTAAAATCTATACTCCATCTTCACTGCTCTTGTTACCTGTGCTAGCTAAATTAGGCTGGTGCAGGTATGGCAGCTTGTGCAAAATTACACCTCCATTTTGCTGCTAGGCATTTAGGCAGTCACTTGATCAAACTCACTTTTGGCCACCTCCACTATTCACTTATTTTTAGGGTTTCAGGTCTCTGAGCAATGGCTGTTTTTTTTGAGGGGTGGAGGGGAGATTTGAGGTTTTTTGCTTTTAATTTTTTCTTAAATCACCTTAATAAGAGAATATTTGTTTATTTTCCACAAACCTGGAATTTCCCTCAAAATTGCACAGAACAGCAGAACCCCTGGCTTTCTAACTGCACAAATCTCCACAGTGTTTGTGCAAGTTTTATTATATAGCCCTTAGACCTGAAGTTTATTATGATGGAATCCTTGTCTTCACATGTGTTTATATAAAACCAACTACAGGGAGGCCCTGATTCCAACTTGAGCTTCTGCACACTACTGTAATAAATGTTAACAGTGGTCTGTATCACACTTTTACCTAAATATACACACATGTAAAGAGCACACTGATTACGTTATGTAATCTGTTTGGGCCACTTTTTAATCATCTGAACTTTGAAAATAGCGAATTAGTGTATTTTATATTGACCTCAACGTTCAGCAAAGAAAAATGTAGACTTTTTTTGGTGACAGTTTGCTGCCAAATATAATACCACAGGCAACATTTATTAAAAAAAAAAATCAATTTTGGCCGTATGTAAAGAGCAATTCAGTAAACGTAATAAAAAAAAAAAAAAGACTTTGGAAGACGTACAAGACAACTGCTGATTGTCAGCATTTAAGTTAT